TTTCTGAAATTTCTATTTCAATTTTTAATATAGATACTACACCATCATACAAATTTCTAATTGCTTGTAATATTAGCTTGTCAATTCTTAAATTTCCAAACCTTCCTGTAATTTTATCAATGAAATATTACCATAACCATTATATTTTATTACAGGTATATATTGCATCATTTTTATGCTTATCTCATGTACCTCTTTGTGTTTTAGCAAAATAATAACAACTTTTCAATTATTTGTTATTTCTTATTTCTTTACCATTGAAGCATATTTCCAAACAAATTTCGCATTTACTCAATTTATTTGGATTGCTTTATATCAATGCATCTGCACCCCCATCTCAATCAAGTTTTTGTCCAGTTTCCCTGATCCATTGAGCATATGCTGAAATGGCTCCTTGTTTTGCTTCTGGACGTAAATGTAGCTTCACTATGCGCACGTTTTATTGAACTCTCCTTTTGCTTAATGGGAAGAGTAGAGGTAAGGGCGAGTTGCTATTTTGTTAGCAATGCAGAAAAATCATACTTTAATTTGTGTACCGATGCAAATAAGTGTTCTATAACTCAGAAACAAAATTGACTATTTTTCAAATATTGCTTATCTTGTGATTTTTAAAACTCATTTATGTGAAACTTTTACTCCTCTTTCAACTATTTATAGTTAAAGTGACGGGAAGGGATTCTGGGACTCAAGAAATCGTGCACAGATAATCTTTTGCACCTATGTCACATACAGTTTTTACTATTTTTTTGACTGAATAAATCTAAATGCTGCTGAGGTTCTTCCTTTCCAAACACCTTTTCTTTAATGACATTGTCATATTCTTTAAAAATCAATTCACATAATTATAAATATAATAAATATTAATAATGTAGAGAACCACATGTTTTTAAATGTTCATATTCAAAATAATTAAGTTCCCATTTGCTGGCATGGATAGCAGAGATTGCTAAGGCTGAAGAGCCCTCCCTGCCCTGTGCCAGAAGGATCATGGTTTTGAATCCTAACTGGGTCATGGATATTTGTGTGAGTCTGTAAACCATTTCTGTTACCCTCAATGTTACTTACAGTGGTCAGTATATGACCTTAGTAATTGAGGAATGACTTTAAATAAGAGAACAAAAATTCAAATCATTTAAATATCACCTACTCTTAACTTCTTTATTTAATTTTCTTTTTATGTGTCACTTTTTTTAAATTATATAATTAAATGCCTTTGGCCAGTTACACTCTTTGCAGTTGATGATATGGATGACCATTGTTTATTGGATTTATAATTGATTATATTTACAAGTCAAACTCATGAAATACATTTTTCTTTAGTAAATCATTTTATGAGTAGAGAATATTGTGGTAGGTCTAAGAATTCTTTGAGTAATTTTCATTTCACTCAATGTTGATATGGATTATGTTATCCTGATTGAAAATGAATTTCAGATGAAATAGTATTAATTTTGTGACAAATTTTGTGGAAATTTGCACAAAAAAGATTATAAATGCGTTTACAACTCACTTGTAATGAATCTATTTATATGGTACAAACCAGGAGATTTAAAAATTTTTTGGAAGGACATATTTTGAGAAGTTTGTATTCAATTGACTTTGTTTTTGATGCTGATCATCAAATTGCACAGGTATAATAAATTATTGTCCAAATCATCATCTTTTACCTGTGAAATTCAAGAAAAATTTTAATTTCCTCAAATCAAAAATTGTTTCTTCTCTCTTTTCTACTTCTTTATTCCAATATTTCTTGAGCAGAATAAAAAATGTTGTTTACAATATGTTATTTTAGGTGGTTTCTACAGTTAATTAGAGACAATCAAAAATTGATTTACTATGAACATTTTAAAATATGAATAATTGTCAGATACAAAATAGAACAACGTTTCATAGCCTGTGTAGGCACATCTTCAGGTTCACAGATGTTTTGAAATAAAACAAACAAAAAGTTTTTAAAACAATTACAACAATAAAGACCTTCAAATGGTTAGATAATTTCAAAGAAATTTAATTGTAATTTCAAGGCACAAGAAAACACACGACGTCAACGAAAAACGTCAACGAAATTTTTTAAATATAAAAAGATAATTTAGAAACCATTAAGAATAAAAATATTTTTATAAGCCTTTTATATTATTCTATCTAGAGACTGAAACTTTAGTCATTTTAAATCTCTAAAATAGTTGGGCAAAAAGGTACTTAAAATTGCTAAAATAGGCACGGCAAAATAAAATAAATTCTAATAATAAATTCAAGATTTCAATTGAACACAATGATATAGAACATGGATTTCACAACAGTTTTAATAAAAATAAGTAAAAAAACTTAAATGAAAAGACAATTAATTTTACGATAAAAATCTTGAGTGTATAAACATGTTTGGTTACATGAAACAACTAAACATATTCTTAAATTTTTCTGTGGTGAAATTGGATCTGTCTGGCAAAACATCCTTCAATTGAGAGAAAGATCACTTATTGTCATCAGAGATTACTGGACCAAATCTTAAACACAATAGATCAGAGGAATTAATTTCTGCATCAATTGTTACTCTTTAGAATTTTTAAAGTATCTTTGTTTTCGTATAAGGTATCAAAATTTTGAGAAATCATTGTTTTACATTTTTCTTTTATCAATAATCATTTTTCCCAAGGCATTTGGGTAGCCAATGTTCAACAACATCCAAAATTTTTAACAATTTCACAAGAGGTTACTTCCATTCTCCAAGTCGAGTAATAACGTCTGTCAGAACAAAAACAAAATGGGCCATGCAAAAATTAAGTAATTTTGTATTTATAAAGAATGAAGAATTTTCATTGCTAATCCAACTGAGGCATTATCCACACGAGTTCAGACCATATCACATATACTTGTAAAATTGGGGGAGGATTCAACAGTTAATAATATACATGTCTCTCAATTCAAGACACGTTGAGGAGACAGACTGATCTGGATTCTTGAATGGTTTCTAAAACATCTTAAAATTTGCATTGAATTGATCCATCTCCTGAAATAAACATCTCACTTCTTTTTCCACTTTATGAATTACTGTACAATAGTTGAGCTATTAATTTTTCTAACCAGTCAGTTGTGACCAAACACAACTTCATTGATTACTTTTTCAAAGGAGAGTCTGCAGGACTCTAGTATCTATAGAGCTAAGTTAGAAGACAGTTGAGAGTGCACAAATTTGTCATATTACTGTACATTTATCGTAAATCGTACATGAAAACAAATTATTAAAATGTACGTGTCTGGCAACCTTGCAATGAAGACCGAAGATCATAGAACGCAGGTTTTATGCGCACTAGTAAAGACCTAGATCACAGACAGCAAGGATCGATAACATCGGTAGTTACGGCTGCGGAGCGACGGGCACTGTGCTATGGTCGGCGAAGCAATGAGTATTGTAATAAAATGTTACGATATGAATATCATAACGTTTAATCCACTTTGTAAAACTACCAATGAACTATAACATTCGTTCAAATTTGACCATTTATCCTGCAAATGATGACAGACTGGTAGTAGGTACTGGTAGTAATGGTAGTAGTTAATAGGCGATCATGAATTATTAGAACAAGCGTTGTTCAGCGAAGTGCAATGATAATAAAAGAATGGACTTGCTATGAATCTCTTGAGCAGCGTTCCCGCAACAGCGTATGCGTACGTGAATGCCGCGATCGCCTGAACGGCGATAAATTCAGCTGCAGTTCTATTCCCACTCGCCATACGACGCTGTTCGTTGGCGACTCTTGAGATAATTTGAATAATAACACTTAAAGTTTGAACACGAATAACTTTAATATTCGTGAATTCTTGTAACCAGAATCAATCGGCAAATATTATCTTCTCCCCTTTCGCGGATATCTTGTTCCTTACTTGAGAATCGCCGATTACTTTTTTGCTGGAGTACCTACCCTAAGGGTTCGCCTAATTTCCAGAATACTGAAGTCGCTACTGTTTGAATTTAAAAACCAGAATGTAATATTTCCAGCCTACATTTAGGCGTCCATTCATTTACGAACACTTTTCAATCTCCCTCAACAAACTTGTGTCCGTTGTAAACGACGCAACAAGCCTCAATTGTTCTTTCCTACGAGTTAATACAGTTCAGACCAAATTGTATATTTGCATTTCGTAACAGGAGTGTGTGGAAAGGTACATTTACACGCAGTAGCTGAAACGTAAGGTAGATTAGTAGAACAGATTATAATGGAAGATAGGTTGCAGAATCCTACAATACACACACACACGTATATTTGGTTAAGATGCAATAACATGTATTCACAATTGTTGCATTACGGCTCCTGCGAGGAAAACACCATAACACTTCGCAGAGACGTCTGAGACGTCTTGCGCTATGGTGAGCTTGCAGGTCGCGAAGTGCGCACGCGCAGAGGCGGCTTGTTGTGACAAACGGGCAGAGAGACGTTTTACCCACAACCTATTTTTCAGCGATAAGAACCAACAAAACTGGATTCTGAGTACATATCGTGTTAGAGGAAGTAATTTACTAAATTTACGAAAATGATTTATCAACTTTTTCGATAATAGGTGCCCAAAATACAAATTTCTATTAAAAAATCACTAATTTTTGTAGCATTTCTCTTTTCCACGAATGGCGGGAAAGCAAAAAATTAATATTGCAACACCAATATTGATGATAGAGATGTTTTCCTTAATTAAATCTGTTACAAACGTTATATCTTTAAATAAGCTTGTATACAATATTACTAAAATAAAAATCCTGTAAGTAATTTTTACTTGTAAAGACATTCAATTTTGTTAATGTTGCCAAATATTTCTTTTTTATTTTCTCGAACGTCGCTTATAAAAATGTCACATTTTCGTTGAATTCTGAATTTTCGACAGTTGCAAAAGTTGCAAACAATGCGAGGGAGTGCAATGCTGGTGTACGCGCTGAGGTTCGTTTGTTTGGCACCGTGCGCTAATCCCGCCTGCAGCGATGAAGGCGGTGGTGCTCGGGTGTGTTGCAGGGGCTCTGCCTGCGCGCGCGAGCCGCGGGGCGTGGGATGTCGGTGGCGTCGGGGGCGTCGGCGGGCAGCCGGCTCAAGGGCGGCGGGCGCGGGCCGCCCCGCAGCCACGTGCTGCTGCACGAGATCCGCCCGCTGCTCGTGGCCCTGCGCGCGCTGGGAGCCCTGCCGCTGCGCTGGCACCCCACAGGTCAGCAGCCTCAAGCGCTGGACCGCTTCTACTCCTCTTCTCGCCGTACTCGCACGTATATGTCGCGTGCCCGCAGTCAGCTGGCGCCAGCTCCCCCTCGACGGGTGTGTCTCAGCAGGAAAGACCTGTACAACAGCCTGATCTCCGCGTGGAGGGGGTCGATTGCTACTCTTCTGTTCGTCAATGATGGCACTTGTTAACACTCAACACACTCACGTTTGGTCTACTCACACGTAGTCAAATATGGGGACGGCCACCAGATTGTTGCGGACTGGCCACAATGAAGGAAGTTGTGACATCAATCAATTCAGGGAATAGGAGGATAAGACACTCACTACACTCACACACACGGAGAACGGTAGCAACTCACTCACTCACACACTCACACACACTCCACCACTCAGCACACCTCACTCACCATGCAAGAGAGGTTTATAAAGTTTGAACAACGTGCACCACTAAACACTCATCTAATACATACAATCTATCTTCACTTACTACACACTGCACACACTTCACATCACTCACAATGCAGAGACCAACTAACATTCACACTCACACACTCACGACACTCACACACTCACATGCACTCACACACTCACACACACTGCAACACACACACA